TCACGCTGAGGAAGAGCAGCAGGTGGGTGATGCCGAGCTGAGACCTGGGCAGGAGAAAGGAGATGATGCTAGAGCTTGAGTAGGGTCTGGGAAATGAGGATGGGGACTGGGGCACTTGCATGTCTGCCAGCCACCCCGCTTGCCCCTGGGATGCTCCTTGGGGCAGCTGCAACCACGGAGGACCCGTGGCTGGGGATGCATGTGGGGGAAAAGATGTCTTAGGCTGAAGGATGCTGTTGGGGGCTTGCCCAGACCCCAAGCCCTGACTCACACCACTGGAGGCTCCCCACAACCCGTGGGGCACAGGGGGTTGGTGGCCAACGAGCTCACGGTGCTGCCCTGGGTTGTGGCTGAAACAGCTGCAAAGAAAACACAGAGAGTGAGAGCAAAGTGGAGATCCCCCCCGCACCCCGTCCTGTCCCCCGCACAGGGTGTCTCTGCCCCGAGAGTTCGGCTGTGGAGGTGCAGGATGTGGAGATGGGGGTCCATGGGCAATGCACTGGGCACTGGGGAGGAGGAGGAAGGAAAAGGGGGGGTTAACTGCGAGGGACTGGGGACTCCAAAGGACAGGCTTGCGGAAGCAGAGACCCTAAATGGGAGCGAGGGAGAGGCTCTCCTCCGCACGAAGCTCTGTACAGCCTCCTCCATCCTTCATCCAAGTTTGCACTGGGGCAGCCTCCAGTGGGTCTCGGTGTGTGCAAGGAGCTTGTTCCCGCTTTGACAACCTCAGTGTTCCCCTGGCTGGGGAGGCCCCGTCCCCATTGCTGAGACCCAAGTGACGGGCTCCATCGCACACCCCTGCTTTGCTCCCAGCCCGGCTTTACCTGCAGAGACCATCACCTCGGTGGTGTGCCACAGCCTGAACCACAGGCTGCTCCCCACCCCGCAGGAGTACCAGCCTGCGTCCCCCGGCTTGACGTTGCTCAGCGTCACTGTGAACGAGTGTGTCGCGTGGTCGTCCCTGATGGACACCCTGCCCTGCGTCACCGTCACCTCCGAGCCGTTGGTTTGGGCGATGTAGGTGAAGCAAA